TGGGTGACGGACGTTAGTATATAATAAAATTAATAGAGAGGAAGAGAGAAGTTAATTCAGGGTTACTTTTAGACTGCAAATGTGATATTATGGAAAACGACTACCAATACCGGCATCAGGCTATTAGTACTGGCGTTATTTATACGTTAGATTTCCCATAATAGGCTGCCATTAACGAGCAGATCAAGCTGTCATAGGACTACATCCTACTTAAAACAGCCATCTGACGTCACCACCACGCCATCAACCCAATAAGTGCAGCAGCTGTCGGCTTCACCGTTATTAGGGTCATGCTTCCGGCATACATTATAGAAATCCGGTCCGCTGATCGATTTTCCGTTCAGGCGAGAACACTACACCAGCTGTTAGGGGGACTATGCTCGAGAAGGCCCGTTCTAACTCACATCGCCGCCGGGCTCTAGGGAGTAAAGTTAGTAACTTAAGCCTACATCAAGGAGGTTAACACGGGTAACAAACTGATGGTATAGCCTGGTCCCATATCGCCATAAGCAAAATTAGTTACACACCAGTTAGCCGTCTAGGTATTAGGATACCGCATACAATGGCATAAATCCCAATTCTCAGCATAAGCCAGCCCGAGAAGGCCAATGCTTACAGATGCATCAGCCATATCGTGAATTGCCTACATCTATAGCCCGAGAACTCACAGTGCAATCTGTATTAGGGAGAACCTCATAATAGACTCGTCGGTATAATCAGTATCAAATCGGGAAATATAAGTTATTGTTACAAGTAACAAGATAGTAGAGCAATGTATCTGGCAGATATGGTTTTATTTAACTCCTGTATTCTATATAGGAAAGCATAATGCTTTTTAAGTGCCGCGAACTCATCATGCAGCTTACGTCATAAATGGAAGTTTCTTAGTCTCATATCCGACCTGCTCCTCATCATATGATTTAAATCCCTTAGTTATAAAACTTTACTAAGTCATAGGATGAACATTATATCCTAGTAGCCATAACGCTGAAGGAAAGGAAGAGTTATGCCTGTATTTAATCAGACTAAAAACTTAGTTCACTCTAAAGTTCAACTACTCCAACATATTGTAACCCTTATACCTACACTTATGTATTACTAAGAACTATCTTCTCTTAAACGTATGATTTAAACCTTCTTTTACTACATTAACCTTTCATCTTTTATGTCTTTCAAAGTCAATTTTACGGCAAATGCGGCCAGCGCTTGCAATTTTGCTAACATTCGGTAACTCTGCCCCCGCCCACCTCCCCCTTATAACTAAATACCCCTCTACTACTAGATTAAGAACTTCTTCTATAAAACAACTGTTTTCTTTTAAGAATTAGGATACTTAATTCTCTTAACCTCTAACAGCACTTATATCTTACAAGCTCATCTCACTTCCAAGCCCGGCCTTTCACCATATTACTAAAGTCCCTTCTCCTGCCTTTGGCATTACTCCAGGCTACAAGTACGCTTTCCATCAAGAAGTAGATGCCCAAGTTAATTACACTTATCCTAAACGTCGTTGCCCAAAATAAATAAGTAAACAATGCTGACCTAACAGTCCTCAGGTAGACGCATCCGATAAGCATCAGCTACAGGCGAGGGCATAGGTTGCTCAGTCCTTCCCCACAGAAACCGTATCTAACCGTCTCAGTGAAACAATTAAGGTTCCCTTCAGCTATTTGGGTTCTCAAAGCCCTGGCATCTGCTTCACTGTAGCAGCTGTTGGTATGACTTTATACAAAGTCGGGAATTTTCTTCACTACCATGCCGTCCATACGACCAACTCGCAGGCCAGAGGCGTCATAGACTTCATCTTTGCGAATAGGAAAGTGCCTATTAAGTATAGCCTAGGCATTAACGGTATGCCTAGGAAGATGTTCATTGATTCACGTATGGGCCCAAGAGTAAAGCTTCAGGGGTAAGTCGCCGCTTTAGAGCAAGCTTCAAAGCGGCTTATAGGGTCTTAGGTCTTGTATTGTCAATTCATAGGAAGATCACCCACCTAACCTTGCCCATTCCTATCCTGGTGTGAAGTAACTACGACCCTTCCGGGTCGTTGCCTGTTCTCTATAATTGAACGTGATAAACGACTATTCTAACTAGAATCTTGATACTATACTATATTAATTATATCCCTGCTGTACAAACACCCTCCCGTATTACGCCCTAATGCATATTTAGCGGCCCATATGCCACCGTCCATGCCCATAGTATGTCCTCGCTTACCGTTTAAATTACTTAATTTCTATGTAAATTATATACTACTAGACAGGAAATGCTGCTTCTAATCATTGCATTATGCGCAATGCTAGGTATATTCTCCCCTGCCACGAGAATGCCATACCAGCGCTTATTTAGAAATCGAAAGCCGATGCTGCCTGTTTTCGCCGGACAAGTCCCACTCCTACACCGACAGACCTCGACGCACCCGTACAAACGACTCACACCGAGGGTAACATAATCTATTATGACCTTGGCCTAGGTACTACTCGCAAATAAATAATAAATAAGTCTGACACTGTTATAAACAAGACAGCGTTTTCCTTAGAAGCCCAATTCAACGCCAGAGCCACTGGCGGCCTTATATAATAAGTCTCTGCCTCTATGGTGCAATGCATGCTGGCAGGAGGGTGAAGGCAATGTGCTTGGCGTCGACGCAAGAGTGCAAGTAGCTAGGAAAGCATAAGGAAGGTCAGGATCTATACAAGCAGACGGCTGTGAAGGGACTAGAAGGGACGGGAAGGAGCGTAAAGGGACAACAGGTCAGCATATATCTCGGTCAATCAGAAGACACATCGAAGTAGTATGTGCTCGTGCATGGCTGACCAGACCTGGGGGGTATGAGAAATAACGGGCAGCCACTCGGAAACGCGCGGCAAAATGATCTATAATTGACCCTATTTATGGCTTAGACGCCTGCCGCCTTTGTGGCAAAGGCTATCATTTGGTCCGCTTCCTCTTCCTCGCCTTGCCCTCGTCGCTTTTGGTTTCTACAGCACCTCCCGCCTTTCCATCAGGGACTTATTCCCTCCCCTCGTCACTGCAGTGATTGCAGTGATTATGACTACACTAGCTGCGAGACGAACCATCATGTCCCGCTTACACTCCCGTCCCTTATGTCAGGCGCTCTGCGCAGGCCTTATTTTCGGCTTAGAGCTCGCGAAGTTGCTGCCCCAAAGCCCTGTTCTAGCCAATAAGCTCGGCCAGCATGGCACCAATCTCCCCGTCGAACAGGCCGCTGGCGATATCTAGAGCTTAGGCGGAGGTGAGAGTGAGAGTGAGGGTGTGATGACCCTCAATGTCAAGCAGCAAGATGCTGCGAATATCGTCTGGGCAGCCGAAGCTGCAGAAGTCGGTGTTACAGGAAGTCGAGGGGCACAGAGGCCAGAATATCACAGGCTCGCGAAGCCGAAATATCAAGGTAAGAAGAAGTCATAGATAAGACAAATGAAATAGTGCCCAGAGGCGATATCAAGAGCTCGCGAAGCTCAGTGCCATTAAAGACACACGTCACAAAGAAAGATCAACTCTCTAAATCCCTTTCTTCCAGCAGCTATTAGGGTCCCATTAGCCCCATAGTTGCTTTTACTGCCATTTTAGACTGCAAAAATTCTTTACCCTAGCAAAACACTAACAGCAGGTGCCAAGGAAAAACTTTTTTACAGGAGAGAGTTGTATAGAAAGTAGACCTATGTTATATTATATTATATGTATTTTTCATCCAGGGGGCCATAGGCCCCGAAAGTCCCCTACTAGAGCACAGGACGTGCTAAGCTAGAGAAATCAGAACATATCTACATGCTAATTATAGGAATACTATTGGCCATAGAGGATTAGTCATTCGCCACGCGAAATTAGTCTTTTTATCACAGGGTAGGCATTAGTAATCTAGCTATATGCTTTAAGTAACTATACAGGATGGAATACCCCGCACAAGAGATAACTTAAGACAACAATTAACATATTTTTACTACTACTCAACACATTTTACTTTAACCCTTTAAGCATGCTCAGTGCAACACTTTCCTATGGCATCCAATTTCTGCAAACATCGTTACTCAAGGCAATCGTATGACCGCGATAACAGTCCGGCCAGGTCACCATCCATCAGATCTACAAGCACGTCGAGCAACTAAGAAAGGGAAACAACAGAGTCAAGATAATATGGGTCCCATCCAGAGCCGATGGCCTCAGCATGAACCTGGAAGCAAAGAGACAAGCCAAGAAGGCTACTAGAGCAGAATGCTCGCCGCAATCGCTACCATTTCAGGCCCGCTCTACCCGGCTCAGGCAGCGCTGACCTCAATTCAAGTATCAAGTCAAGTATTTCAAGTAAGTCAAGTAAGTCAACAAACCAGTTTATTTCAAGTAAGCAAGTTCATAATACTTTAAACTTGATTTACTTAAAATACTAGATTTTATAGATTTTCCTATGCAACAGCCCTATAAGTTTCAAGGCTATTCGGAGTCCCAGGCATAGGGTAATTAATTAAGTATGGTACCCCAGTTGATTACACCAATAGAACCCAGGAACGCGGCAGGGGTGGCGCGACTACGTGTTTTGCGTTTGCTCGCATACTAGAAACACCTGGTTTAGAATTAACATCGCTCCCTGATAAGAAGCATCTGTATTCCGCGATTCGCCGGTAACCCGCTATAGCAGCACAATAACAGTCGTTAGAATCGCTTCTGGGAATTAGTGGCTATCGCAAATTACTTAAGCAGCAGCTTAACGCTGCATCCATTAAGACTAAAGCTAGAAGAACGACCCTTGCCGACCTCCTAACTATCCAGATCGGCTGCAAGAAATATATACCAGAAGAATACATTGCCAATAAGAATCGCAAAGGTCAGAGAAGCTAGATCCAAGCCCATAGCTTCTTTCTTACAGAAGTCAGCCCTGATTTACAGACATTGCAGACCTACTAGGTATACTCGAAATGTGATAAACGAGGCAAGAGCTCATTATTCATCGCCACAAATACAACATCGCTAATTAAGCACCTCTGAAGGTAAATGATATCTATATAAGCCTGATCTTTATTACTTCTCCATTATCTTATAAGATATAGGTCTTATATAATCACCGAGGCGGATAATAATATAGATGCAGATTCGTATTTATCTCGCGCTGACATTCACCTACCCTCGAAGCGGCGTTGCTTAGAGTCTCCTACTGCAAGATCAAATATTAATAAAGCAAAGGAGTTAATGGTCGGCTAGATCATTACTGCCAATCTTTTATTCACGGCGCCATCGAATTTATACTTATGCTAAATACTCGATTTATATGATATATTATTAGTAAAAGAGGTACTATAGAGTTGGCAGTTAGTGCATAATACTATGCGGAAATTATTTGAGGTAAAGAAGGGAGTAATATTAAGTTAATTACAGAAGGCGGTTATAAGGATTAGCTTTAGCTTTGACCTATAGACTTCTCTAAACTGGTATGCTTTCCTTGGCCTCCATGCCCACTATCTCAACGCCTCCTATTAAGTCTAGTTGCGACTCCTTGCTCTGCGCTATATATAGGGATCTTATTCCGGAGATAACTAAGCAGCAACAATATATAATATCTTGGGCAAGTATGGGATATAAGATAGGACTAGCGCGGGTATCTATAATAACGCCTTATCTAATAATATATACTTAGCAAGCCTCTATTATCAACTTTATCCTATAATAGCGGAAGAAGATATTAGAAATCATTAAATAAGATACTTTAGGTATATTCTTAACCTTGTAGCTTGAGCCTTTCTCTGGGGAGAAGATCCTGACTTGTTTAAGCGAGAAGCCTTTACTGAGGCGGCTTTCTAAGTTAAAGAGCGTGAGCTTTGGCTTTAGCGGAAATGGGGAGCGGTAGGCAAGCTGTATAACATCGTCTGGTTTATTAGGGCTTCCCTGCAACGGAGAGAGCTAATAAAATCCCTGGCTTATAACCAGAATGACGAAGATGGCTATTAACTCTTTAAAGAGGAGCAAGCTGCTATTGACCTTAAGCTAATGTAAAATAATAAAACTAGATGGAATTTAACCTTTCTGATGATCTAGCATGCCATTCGAAAGCGAGAGCACATTAACCATTTTATTATATATCTTGAAATAAAGACGTCAAAGCCCTGATAGCGGGTGCCTATCTAAGATTAGCTTTTACCATAGGACTGGCTTCTGTTAGCGGAGATATAGAGTCTACTTAAACCGCTCTATGAGATCACCATGAGGTGCCAGGGTTAGGCTAAAGAAGGATGCCACAGCGCCTTATGGGAAGTAATGATTAGAATGGAGTACTTGCTTAATTTCTTCGAGGAATAAAACCTGATATTCTTATTACCTGATAGTGGCATCAGTAAGCTAAGAAATTTCAGGGTCTCGGCAACTAAAAGTATGACTCCCCTAATTCGTCTTTGTTCTCTTTAGGCTTCTTTAACTAATGGTTTCTTAGGATCTAGCACTTAATAAATTAAGCAGGGCCGTAGATAAGAGAAATACTTGCCACAGTATGCTTAAGAGGAATATATTAATGTAGTTTTGCAAGATGAGAATCTTAATAATGATTATTAACGATGCGTCTAGATCTCTATTAAGAACTGTTGGTTAAAGCTCGATAAGTATTACAGCCTACTAGGCCAATTGCCACTTTATCTGGCTGCTGTTATTCTTTACTCACGCTAAAACGTGTCTTAGCTTGAGGTAAACTAGACCAGCGATGAGTAACTAGTATGGCTATAAGACGCTAAAAACAGTGTCCGGGAATTCTTTAAACAGCACTATCCACATGAAAAGCAGCCTAAGACATCGAGGACGGTGATAGGAAAAGCAGTATAATAAGATAAGCCTAGTTAATTTAACCAGTAGATGCAGAGCTGCAATTAGTACATAATGGAGGAAGAAGACGAGCTTGGCGTTTACATGAGGCAAGGGCCAGTGCAGCGAGAGAACTTAAACCCTGTCCTATGGTAGAAGGATTATCAAGAAGAATACCCACGTCTAAGCAAGTTTGCCCTCGACATCCTGGCAATTCCTGCCATATCTATTAACCCTAAGCAGACATTCAGTATCACCAAGTTAACGGTAAGCTCGCAAAGGCACAGTATAAGCCCTAAGATAATAGAGGAGATGCAGTATCTATGAAACTGGCTACGCCATTAAGCGATCACTATAGGTAAGGTGGTTAGCTTTAGTGGGGACTTGGTAGGTTAAGAGGGAGGGGAGGCTTAATAGCTTTATTGGAGCTTCAGGTCAGCACCTTTATTTCAAGTATATTAATTCAATTCAAGTTAAGTAAGTCCATGGATGATTTTATTTCAAGTAATCAAGTTGGACCCCCAAACTTGACTTACTTGAATTGAAGTCAGCGCTGCGCTTGATCTGCACGCCTTTGGAAATGGGCTGATAGTTGCCACGAACAAGGACATCGTACAGATTGGCTGAAACATATGGAAGGTAGATTCTTTCATAACTGTCATTTTGGTCAATGGAAGATCAGAAAGTCAAACTCAAATCCAATCAATGAATAGTTGGTACGAACAAAGAGGAGAATTCGAGCTTCGCAGCGGCCCGTCAACCTTTCCGCTGATGAGGCATCTACAACCAACATCTGGGTCTTTTCAACTTTTGAGAAAAAGTTTCTTCAATACAATTTGTTACAGTCTGCGTCTTTAAACCTGCCGCATAGGAAGATTTTGAAGTCATGTAAAAGGCTGATAGATTGACCAACTTTCGAGCGGCTAGCTATATTTTTCCCTGCGGTGGCCATCCTCTCAGATTTGGGCACTGATGAATATACTCTTTATTCAGAGCAGTATTGCGAAACGGGGCTTAATCTGCAGTTGGTATCAAATGACGAGAACCCTACATAACATGCTAGAACAATATAGCACCTTTAAGAGTATAGTGCTAAGTATTTAAACATACAATAATCTATTTCTTTAATACAGGGTTGAGAATTGCTGCCAGGTCCTCACACTTGGACATCTGCTCTGCCGTCATAGAAACCCCAAAGCATACCTGATGAGGCTCCAAGATCCGAATCAAGCGGGTGTTTGGTCGCTAGTACGTCGCCTTCCATATGGCCATAGCCGCGGCCAAGTTGTCTCGGTCGGTGAAGTCATTACAATAAAAGACGAGATTCTCGCCCATCATGGGTAAATCTGTGTTGGTGTTGTCTAGAAGCTAACTATTTGTGATACGGGCCCTCATCCGTAAGTCGACTAGGCGGTCAAGAGTATGAATTCTAGACTCTGCATCTTCTTCCCTCTAGTCCAATCACCGGCATACTACGATACACTCAGGCGAGTAACCGTTGTGGCATAAGCTTCGAGATAACCGTTGCAGATAAAGGTTCTCTTCGGCCAGAAACTGGTTGTTTAGGCATCTCATCTCCGGAAGCATCTTCCACCAACAGAAGCGTGGATCCGAAATTGGGTCGTTCAAAATGTATAGCAACAACGTCCTTATTGCGCGTCTAACCTGCCACGCACTGAGTTTCGTTCGCGAGGCCAAATATTTCATCCTAGCATCGTGCTCTGTGAACAAGTCCGTGTAGCCGTCTGGCTTAGCGCTCTGAACGACATATAGGGCTAGTTGATAACATATCCCGGCCATCACATTGGGATCATACCAGGCAACATCATGTTGTGTCATCGCAATCCGAATACAACTTTCTGCTACGACTTGAACGAGAGCTTCGTTTGACGTGCTTGCTCTTTTGCGAGTATATTCTTGATTAGAATGGTGATTTTCGTATTGCTCATTGGTCTCGTTGCCACTAATTGCCGTCTCTGGTCTTATTCTTCGCTCGTGAATAAAATGTTGTAGAAATGGCAGGGGCCCTGGAACACCCAAATTCCAATCGATCACCTGTAAGAATATCCTTTCAATTATCGCGAGTCGCCTCTTTTGCCGTTTCGTAAAGTCATGAATTTGAAGAATCTCAGCTATAACGGCCATTCCTACCTGGATATTCTGATTTTCCTCATACTTGGACGCAACCATGAGTGCTGTGCCGGCTAGCAATGACAACGCTCTCCACTGCGTCGCTCCGTGGGCAATCATGTCCCTCTGCCAGGTCGCTGTCGCTATAATGCAGCCATCGGTCTCTGCGTCGAACTGGCCTAGAAGGTGTGCAGCTACTATCAAAGTAGATGGGCCTTTCCTTGACGCAAAAACGTCAAGTAGATTAACTGCAAGCACGCAGGTCTCTAGATTAAACGAAAACGAAGTATTGAATAAGGTCTGTACGAGGGGCTTGCGCCATCGGAGATAGTTTGGATACAGCACTAGAGGCTGACGGTAGTCTCAAGTGAGCCACAAGTCATAATCGAATGGAAGGATGACGGGGTTTTACCTCTTTATCTCTAGCCATTAGGAATGAATAAATATCTTCTGCATATTCATGCGCACTGGCGACGCGGTTCATGGAATCACTAGGACGGTGGTTATCATTGCTTGTCATGATTCGGCTCTAACGGTAAGTGCAAGTGAGGGTAAGGTAGAAGAAGAGCTAATAAACGGAGAAAGGCATATTAATATCCTGATAGCCGTTACGTCTGAGCTATAATTATGCCCTGGGTGGTCGAGTAACCCTCGGCTTGCCGTAGAATGAATTTGTGAAATTAGTTGTAAACTTTATGTTCGCTTGGTGCTTTGCTGATTTTTGATATCATGGTGTAATTTATACGCTTGCCACCCGCATCTCTCTCATACTTCCGCAGCAAGTGCTATTCTCGGCCCCGACTGCTTATCTCGAATCAAAAAGGCGGGCAGAAGCCGCGCAGCCCCTTGACAAATGCGAGTTAATCCAAAGTATAGTGTTGTATGGCCATCGAAAGTTGTATACCTGCGTGGACTACCTTCATGTTTTTGCGTCCTGTAATGGTGACTTTACTCCAAGGTGGAATGAGAGACTTTCTCTTAGCGCCTCGGTGCGCTTCAGGATCTCAGTCCCGTGGGCTGCCCATGTTCTACATCGAAAAGGAAAGCCTTTGACTGACTCTGTGGCCCGCCTACATACGCCCTCCTCGAACTAAGATATGCATCTCGATGATCTGGCCGACTCCGACCACACAGTCCCGCGCCTAATACACTATTATGGTGGGTATCACCCATATTCTCCCTGCTAGATCTCCTTTCGCCGTTTCTAAATTACTCCTGCATCTCCCGCTCTCGTTTCCACTCGTTCTGCCCAAATTGCCGCCCCGAAGACTGGCGAACCTTGTACTCTATTCAATCTGACTTCTAAGCAGGGGTGAAGGGTTGGAACTCAAAGACAGTCAGGTGCCCAGCCCTTTAATTCACAGACACTGTACATCTCACTTCCAGTTGTGGCGTAACTGGTGTGATTTTGAACGATTTTCACACATCTTACGTCTCCACATTGATGACCTTTAGGCGTGGATACTGACAGACATACGCAGGACGAATGACCACGGCATTATGCTAAATTAGTACTCCAACATTCGTCGGCTGCCAAAAGACTGGTTCAAGTCATCATGAATGGCAAAACTGTCAGCCTTACCATGATGAATAGTTTTTGGTCCATATAACTGCGGTGAAAGGGATCACCTAGGATGTCATTCTACATAGTAAACTGGCGGGAGAAGGTTCGCCGCAAGAAAACTTGAGGCGTGGCTTCAGAAGGAGGTGGTGGGTAACAAATCGTAGCAGATAGGGGTGAATTTACTAGTAGAAAGCAAGGAGTTTTGTAGTGCTATGCATGGATCAGAGCTAAACTCCCAGGCAGTCACACCTCAAGTAGAGATAATAGAGAGCATACCTTGCTCCGAAGACATCTAGTGAAGTGGCGCAAACAGCGAAGGGTGCAGGGCGCGAGAGCTAGCGGAAGACTCTTTAATAGGATAATAATAGTCCAAGAGATTCTGAACTCGATCGCGAGGAGGTGGTGTATCATATGCAGTATCCTGTAGGTCCAATACCATTTCTACCCACGACCATCGTCTTCAACATGAGTAGCTCTGGGAAACTGCCTAGTTTGGGTGCAATGGATTGCAGTGTGAAAGAAAAGGTGAGACAAAGCAGTCGGGCGGATACACCCCCTTCGCACTGCGCCAATGCAGATCAAATGACGCAGCCCAGTTCCTAACCCTTCAAGCGCAACGGTAGAGGGCACTTTCACCTTCCTATTTATAGTAGCACAGTCTTTATCTCGTCTATCAGAAGGACTTTGAGATATAAAGAACTACTTTAAATACCAGGTATGATATCCCATATAGGCAGCCGTATGATTGGCATGTCAGCATCATCAGCCACATACAGGGGTGCTCGCGAGTGGTGCATATGCATTGACTGAGAGCCTCCACCAACCTCGTTTGTTCTTTCCCAGATTTTATGACCTTTCGTCCCAACGCTTCGCGTTGCGGATGGAACGTTCTGAGACGGCAAGAGTGATGTGAAAGAGTGAAATGTAAACGCTCAATACCGCAGTAAATTAGCCTAGCGCATGTTGGTCTGGAACCTCAGCCCCGTAGGAATGTGTGAAATAAAACGATATAGGTTGTGCGGAGTCGTACTGGGTCGGATACAGCAAACGTTATATTCCGCAATTTCTCAATAGAAGTCCCTTCCATTCACAAGAGAAACTTGAGGAAGACCGCATTGCACCACGGAGTTAATGGTCGGGGAAGCCAGTAGAGTGATTCATCCAAATTTTGATCCTTCTTGGCCAAAACACCCGTGTGTCAGAGCAGCATCCTGACCGGATATGATAGACAGCCACTGAAGTAGAACCATGGCCTACGCTCATGACTAATCTGTAATAAGCTGCGTTCTCATTGCCTTATAGTATTCCGAAGCTTGATGTCCCCTGCTGCTTGCATATTAATGAGTGATGGGTGTCTGTCTCTTTCACTTTAAGTAAGAGACACAATAGGGATGAAGTTTTGCTCGTCAACTCCTTGTTTCTCTGTGCGTGTGGAACTAATGCATAAGGCCCAAGCGAAAATTCAATCAGAGAGTCGACTAGTCAAATATAACAGATACCAGAACCAGCGTTCATAGTCAAAACGACTCATTCCGTCCCGGCAATCAATAAGTATCCACATCCACTGTCATCAAAATACATCTTACTGGAAGTATTTTTACATACGGGCCTGATAAAAACACTCGATTCTATCGTTTACTTATCTCCTCATGTGATCCAACGTCACCAAGACCTTTGTCTGTAAGCCAACGGGAAAAGCTATGTCGCTGAGTTCAGATGGCCGAACGCCTCCCCAAGCCAAGTCACATATTTATCTTGCATCCAGGCGCCGATTAACCGCAAGGTCGCCATAATTGTGTATAATCCAATGAGACTGTCTGTGCTTCCTATCGCCACATCTTCAAGGATTTCCTGCAGTAAGTCTGGATCAGCGCAGCTCTACCGTCATGTCGGGTCATTGAAAGTTCAACGCACGAGATATACTCACAATTCTGTCCTGCCTATCGCACGCAAACAGCAAACGCCACTTATGTTCCATGACAATTATCAAAGGCAGAGTGACAATGGGAGCGGTAGCAGCTCTAGTTGAGGAAGTTCCAATTAACATCTTTATGCGCTGGTGCCACGATGCAACCCAGATCCCCAACTGAAGCCTCGCCTCTTCCAAATCTCCTGCCGCAATCTTTGTTTCAATAACCATGGCGATAGGGTCCTTTCTAACTGGCCCATAGACGGTCTGGTTGATACAACGCTGGTTATCCGGTAAGCTTATAAGAGCTTGTTGGATGGTTTGTGTGATACCTGACGGTGGACATATGCGAACGCCCAGGTCTACCATCTTGGCACGCGTATAATCATACATGGTGGCGGCCTGCATCTCGGGAAGAAATGGTTTGCTGATGCGTGCTGCCGTGAGAAGATCCCTACGTAGTGAAGGAAAAGGATCAAAGGCCAGCTTCAGCAATGGAGCATGGACCTCGAGATTCCACGTCGCCTCTGAAGCCTCCTCGCTCTTACAAGTCTTGGCCGCCTCTTGGAAATTGCAAAGTGCAGCAAGTTCGCTACTGTATCGGTTCGTTGCCTCATTATTATTAACGTCGAAATACCATCCAGGTCTGATCATGCCCTTACGATGCAGCGCTGTCAACTCTGGACGGAGTGAACTAGGCAGAAACCTTTCTCGGTGTAGAGTGATACTGATGATGCTATCGAAGAGAGAGGCAATGTCGTCAGGGAGTTGCTCAGTGGGATCGTCCTCTATGGGGACATAGCGGAGCGGCTTTTTGAGAAGCTCGAGGGTGGAACGTTTGACAGGACTGGCGGATCTGTTGGTGGACGCACGCGAGGGAGATCGGTGAGAGGATGCATTGGTAGATGATTGGCTGGGGGTTTGCCGAAGACTGGGTATAGCAGATAAGTTGTATGAAGGGATCGTTCTGGCTCGTGGCAAGGCATTGGGCGTCTTGTCGTTGTCGAACAGGCTGTCGCTATCTGGTGTCTGAGTCTCAAATTGGTGGATATCCGGGTTGTAAATTGGTTCATCTACGCGCGCTCTTTTGGGGGGAGAACTGTCACGAGTAGGCGTTGATGAAGAGAGCGGAGGCGTTGGCATGTTGCCCCAGTCGAGTCTCGGCTGATCGCAAAGTGGCCCGGTTACTTTTGCAGCTTGAGAATCTTGCGATGACGAGTTGCTTAGAGACTCGAGCCAGCGATAGATGGACTCATCCAGTGATGCGAGTTCTAAATCCTTCATCAAGTCGTGCGCTATGCGGCCGTAAGAAACTGAAGCATGTAGTAGTATCATACTAGCACAGAGTTATCAGAGGACAACTCGCAAGAAACCTGGAATTGAGCTTGGGCGATTGAGCTGACAAACTGGGTGCGTGTTGATTAGCGTTCTTGTTGCTAGGGCGACGAGTTAGTCCGTAACATGCTGCCTGATCAGGAAAGGCGACGTAGCGTTATTTCGTAAGCAACAATTTGGTTGGGCTTACGGAGGTTCATACCAAAAGTCTTTGCCCAAGATGACTTACGCCACAATTGCCGATCCATGTCAGGTACATGAGAATACAAGCGATAAGAAGGGTATAGAGGAGCTGCCCTATAGTAGCCCTATAGTTACAGGGCATTTAAGGGGAATTAATGAATAACTTAGTGGCTATGACTGCTATAGTTTAATTATTATTAGTGGCTGCTACTTCGCTTGATGTACCTCTAGTATCTTATCAAAAGTGGGTCATCCAGCCACAGTCACTTTGGGCAAAGACTTTTGGTACCGACCTCCGTAGTCTACTACCCGTTGGCTCGAGCCGTGGGTGGGGGCCAACTAAGCAAGCTTAGTCAAGCTTAGTTGCCCCCCCCCCCCTCCGCTCGAGCCAACGGGTACTGCACTCGGGATCGCTTGTAATTTACTTTTGAAATCGCGGATACGCTGCTCTCAGATTTTTCGGCCCCGCTTCTCTTCACCATAGCTATTACTAAAGCGTTCTCTGTCATTTTGCGCAGATACTAGCCCAAAACGGCGCCTTGCAGACATGGGTTTACGCTATTGCCGCATTCCTCGACCGTCCCGAACGCGATGCAGCAGGGGCTCTCCAACTCGAGCTTCGTGAACAGATCCCTTGTCACTCGCCACAATTTGAGTTGTAATTGTAATTCGTGCTCAGATTGATCGAACTATTCATCGATAGAGACCACAACGTCGTCGTTCAAAAATCGGCCACGGCAGCGGCAGTAACAATAAGGTTCTTGGTTGTCGCATCATAGAACCAACGTAGTCCCCTTACCGGCCGCTAGAGGATCTACAGCGGAGTGGGCCGACCTGAGCTAAAAGGGTATAATGTTACGAGGGGAATGCGGAGCCTACTACGTATTCCAGCTGTTCAGCAACCAATGTCAGTGCTCTGTCACAACTCGCGACTGACGGCCTACAGCCGATAAGTGGCGCGCAGCCTCACAATAATCCTGTCATGTCTCACTACCCCGCCTTGCCTGGCGCTTGATCAAGGAAAAGAATTGACAGCTTTCAAAATTCAGACGGCGCAATTCGCAGATGACTATAGGTTTGAGGCTCAGGTAGTCCCGACCCTTTTGCTTTCTTACTGGCGCTGATAGAGAGGTGCAGAAATTTCTTTTGATTGTCTATGACTGACGTGCCTAGTGTAGTTTGTTGAGGCATATGTGATTGCCCTTCTCACGACAAAAAGAAAAGAGACAATGTGACAAGCTGTGATGCAGCTTTGATGTATCAACCCATGTGTCACATTCACATTGGTGCATCTTAGTATAGCGAGATTCGCGGCTTGTGGTTGGTCAGAAGGTTTATCACTGTCGTGATCAGGCCATCCGGCTTCTAGACTAATATTCCTCCACCACCTGTCGTACATCAGATCTATTTACAATGGCGCATACGTCTATCATCCGAGAAGGAAGTGTCGATTGGAATAGACGGATCAAACTGGAAGTGGAAATAACTCGGGAATCCCACAAGCAGTGGAATAGCGGCGCCAGTGAGCGGCTCAAAAAGCTAATGGAACAACTCGACGCTACCAGCATGAGCAACTCTTACTACACTACCCGTCAAAACAACAACCTGGCGCCCATACAAAATGGCTGTCCCGAACATTTGGGCGACCGTGACGTTTTAGTTCTACGCCCAATGCCTGACAACTTTCGACAACCTCTTACCTATTACAGCGATGTACTACGGTTGCGCTCGATGCCGGATAACTTTCGAACACCAGCAACCAATCCTGTGAATAAACGTCTTGCACGAAGAGGAAGAACCAGCCTAGATGGTGAAGCGCAAAGTGCATCGGAGTCGAACTTAAAAAACTTGTGCAACCAGCATGAAAATTTACAATTTGGGACTGACGGAGCCTGTCATCTGGAGGATGTTGAAGTTGTTCCGGAGAAAGATGAAGACGTCTGCAGCCTAGATCACGAGAATTAGGCTCTCTTCTGGGGAAGACTGTATAGCCCAAAGCTTGAAACTCCAACGAGGCCGATATGACACTAGACGCTTATGGATGAGTTCCGGGGTCCTATGGATGCAAAATGAGCTTCTCACCAAAGGAGCCAACAATCCAAAATATTTCAACAAAAAAAAAAAAAAAAAACTCTCAAGATTGAGCTTTTGTGCCTATTAATTTACCAATTTCTTTTTACCATCATTATCAGACTTAGAGCTGGAGCACAAAAGGGTAGTACTTGTGCATTAAAAACCACTAGCACGACTGGCATTTCAGGAGCTGATGCTCAGGGAGGATAATAAAAGTATGTAAAGCACTACGTGAGTCTAACTCCGTAACATGAGGGAGTGTTTTGACATGATTTATATCATGGAGGGCGGACAAATTGTCGAATGTGTTTGACCACTTCCCGTGCCATAGGATCCAGAAATCACAGTTAAAGCTTTACGTGGTTTGTTATGGCACTTGGTGGCACGGCGCCACGCCTTGATAAGGAACCAAGTCCCATTCGGAGGACCAAGTCTTATCCTCGTAATGAGTGCCAACAAGGATGAAGGGTCGGTGCCTGGATTCCCCTGACCTATGGTTTCCTTCGCTTGGATCATCGATGCGTACAGATTGAATATATTACCTTGCGTCGCCGTACGTACTTTTTGTCTAGTTTTATCTCATCTCTGGACCTTTGTATCATAGAATGAGTAGGGATGAGGCTGCTAAACCGGGATAATGTTCGCTGCATGGTGACTGTCTACTATATTCACGTTTTTTTTGTCCGGATCTTTCAAAATACAAAGCAAACACGATGGTTTAAAATTATCATTGATCCCCCGATGCATTAGGAACGTAAAGTATGAGTGAGGCCACGAGGCGGCCCCTTGGTGATATGAATGGCCTGGCTGATGTTGGCACTAGGTTAAAACCGGGCAATGTCAGGCTCATTATTGGCCGTCGACTACCCTAGACAAGCAGGCTCGTTATTTGAGCAACATTTCTTACAAACACCTTCCTTTGTCATCACACTTTCTTGGCATACAAATGTTAAGAAAGTGGCCCTGTCTACGCCTAAATCCTTAACAAGTGCACAACAAACGCCTCGATTTGCGCTTTGCGCAGCCGCAAGCCGCGGCGATGGCTTCGTCTACGACGAACCCGCCCGCTG